ACTGACGTTATTTGACGTGGGGAGGGTACTTGCAAAAGGCACTCCGATGCTGAAATCATGATTCAGTTTTGAGCAATAAATGCTATTTTATATTGAAAAGTCTATCATTTACCTGTACTTCCTACCTTCTTTTTATAGGCATTGTTTTGGGCTAATGGGCTTGCTGAGTCAGCCTTGGTTTTGACCCTTTAATTAAAGTAAATAATATTTTGATTATTACCCTTAATTAGATTAATTACCTTTTAATTTGACAAAGGGTATTCAGCTATATTAAATCGAAGGGTACTCGGTTACCTTTTCTTAAAGGTAAGACCGAATAGTGCCCTATCCAGTATAATAATTATCAAAATAAATATGAAGCAAAAAAATATGGTAATACATTTAAAGGTCAGGATATTTGGTGAAACAAATGTTAATGTAATAATTTTTTTATAACAAATAAAATAACTTAAACTATTTAGTTTATTAAAAAAGGTGATTTTCCTTACTAATATAAAATATTTTTTGATTATTGGGGGTACTACAAGTTACACACCCTGTTACATCAACTAAAATAAGAGAGCTACGTGACATGAAAGTAAAGAAAAGAAAAGTAAAAAAAATAAATAAAAAATAGTCTTTTATTTTTTTGGGTCGAAAGAAATAGTCAAACAAACAGTATCCCATCAAATATGAAAACGAAGAGACACGAAATAAAAAGAGCCAAAAAAAAAAGGGGGGGGGGGGTGAGCTAAAGAATTTAGCATTCGTGGCTTTATTTTATCAGACCATATCACATGACACTGTCTGGGACATTTAATTTTTGATTCATTTTTTTTCATTTTTTTTACATTAAATAAGAATGTAAATATGTATTGTAATAATTTAAATTAATTCATCAATTAATTAAAAATATTATATGAGTTATAATTCTATATATTGTAATAATTAATTTCTTAATTTTTATAAAATTAAAAAAGGTTTTTTTTTAATGAAAATCAATTACCAAATTCAGTTTTCTTGCTTAAAAAATTTATTTTTTGTAATGAATAAATATATAAATCTATTATACATGTATAAAAATAATGTTTTGCCGTTCAAAGTAAACACATTCCGAGACATTCAAATTTCCACCTAAAGTTTTTCATAATTAAAAAAAACAGTAATATATAAATTATTCAGATTAATTTTTATATCTCAAATTAACTACAAAATTAAAAATATTTTATAATGTATCTATTATTAAAATAATAAATTTTATCTAACGAGTGTTAGGCTAATTAAATTTTATGGAAAAAACAACACAATAAATCAATTCTAACATAAGTATAAATTAATAAAAAGAAATAAATCAACTAATTTATATTCGGTGCAATATTTTAAAAAACCAAGGATTAGATTTATTTCAAATGATTTCCTAATTCAATTCTATAAAAGGATTCATATTATATATAAATTTGTTCATATACTTTTAAGGAAAAATATATGGTGTGCCACTAAAAATAATGGATTTAGATACGTTTAATAGAAAAAATAAAATAAAAATTTATATGTAAAATTATTTACAAAATAAGAATTAATAAAAGGTAAATAAACAGAATATTTTTTTTGAAACTAAAGAGCCCCTATAACTTTGTGGATAATTAAGAAGCAGGAGTTGTCGATAAAATCATATTAAAGCTTGGAATATGAAATTAATTTATAACAGTTTTCAGCTTCTAATCAGAACTGTCAACATAGGGTACCAATACGAACAAAGCCACGAAGCTTTTGCCATGTAATAAAGATAGTTGAAAACTTTTTACGTATGATACATAAATTTAATTTTTTCCATTGCATTTTAACGAATGATTTAAAAAGTTCTTTTTTTTTTTCTAAATATTCTTAGGAGAAAGACGATGATTTTAGTACACATATAATTTTATATCTTTTCATACATGAAAATATGAAGTAGACCTCATTTTAATTCCTATTTGAAAAGGATTTTTACTTTAGTTAGTTGTTTATTTATTTTCTACCAAATCTATTCACCTTTTAACTCAGCCACTGTGCAAGACGACATTTGGTGATAATGGGTCTCCACTCTTTTGTTCAATTGGGTGGCCATCTGATATGTCACATTTCATTTGCATCATACATACAACACTTTTTCTTGAAATGAACAATATTTTTGGTTTACGTATCTGCTGACCTATAGTGACCATATATATATATTAATCAAAGCGTTTTCCATTCAAAGGCTTTAAGATTCAGTAATTATATTGGTCAAGCATGAGTTGGTGTCATTTGAAAGTTCAAGCAACGTACGAATTTCATTGTTGGTGGATATAAAAACTAACGTGAATTCACTGGCACCTTAAGTTTTTGGAGCAGTAGGCTTATCAAATCTATCAATTATAGTTTTATATTACGAAGAAAAAGCTCAAATATTTATTGGAGAATAACACTTAAAGCAACTATAATCCTATACTTAAGTTTTTTTTTCCTCAATCAAAGTAGGGTTAGATAAAATTATTGGTGTTTCCCACCAGCTGTTTGAGTCGGTTGATGACATTTTTTCTTTTTTATTTTTGATGAGGTAACACTGCAGAATTAATGGTTGAAAAGGGTTGCATTCTCTAGTCCATTTGGGAATGATTTCTATAGTGGTAATGAGCCACTTATACATCGGTCAAATAAAACTCACAGCGTGGAAAATGGTGTGTGTACAGTATATATGGGTCTAAGAAAAGGAAAGATTTGGTCACCATCTTCTAGATTGTTAGCTTAACACTCTCGCCATCCACATTAAATATTTCTGTATATGTTTGGAGTATTATTATCCCTTCATTATAGATCCAAATTGTATTTAAAGTCTAATTTGATTGTTAAGGATTCCCTCCAACCTAAAACAGATATAGTTTTAGAGTGTTATATAAATACTAAGGAAATGATTAAATATCATAGAAATATAAAAGAAAAATTACCAAGTTAGAAAAAGATTTCAAGTGTTCCTTTAATATTATGAAAAAACATATTAAGCCTATCCAAGTTAATATTTCTATGACATTTATTACATAAATTATTTTTTAAATACGTTTAGATTGGACCTATATATTTATTAAATAAGTTAATATTTTTTTAAAATTTATTTAGTTAAGTAAGTTAGGATTTGGATATAATGCAAAAAGTCTTTTAATTTAATATATGTCTATTTACGTAAATAAAAATAATGCAATAAAATTTTATTTGATGTTTAAATATTTAATAATTTTTAAATTATTTAAAGATCATTAGTTTATATAATAATTTAAGTTTGTTACCTGTTTAGAAACATATTTTTAATATATTTGAAAAGTCTTATTGCATGTTAAGAAAGTACTTATACTGATTCAAATAGCATAAGTTCGATTTTCTTTAACTTAGGTCTTTAAGTTCAAAGTTTGAGAAAAAAAAAATTTATATAGAGATAGCTCTAATTTGGAAAAAAAAATGACAATTAATTACATTTTTATCTCATGAGGTTTAACAAAAATTCACTGAATACTCTATTTTTTTTTTTTACATTACTCTAACCTTTTATAACTCATATAATTGCATAAAAAAAAAATAGTGTGTATAATAAAAAAAAGTAGATGTTATATTATTATTAAATCTCAGAGAATATGAGTTTAATTTACTCAAAATTATAAGCTATCAAACTAAATTAAACTTTTAGAAAAGACTGGAAAACTCAAAAGAGGCATTAGGGAAATAGAGGAATTTTAGGCTTAATTATTTTTTTAAAAGTCACTTAAACCTTATAAATGTAGCCTAATGTGACTCGTTTTCAACATTATTTAAATAATAGACTTGCTAAAATGGTATTTTTCCCCTTTTAGTAAAAAAGAAGAGAGAAAAAAAAGGGTTATAATTATCACGAATAATATCTTTTATTTGATTCTAACATTAGTACATTACAAGTATACCAAAAAATGTTGTATTTGTAAAGAGAAAAATATGACAAAAAATTCAGCCCGTGAATTTGCTGGCTTGCTTGGACGAGTGGTAGTATCCTACATGCACCCACTAAATCATCCAATTGACAACAAACGACATGATCTTATCATAATAATCACATCGTAAAAAGTGAAAATTTCCATCATATTGTTTTTTAATTGACTTCCCATTACAAATACGGCCACATCATACATATGGTAAGTACCAAAGGCAAGAAAGTTGAGGGCCAAAAACAGGGGTTGCTGCCTCTTCAATCATGCCCCTATATATCTCTGAAACGTGAAGAATGATCCTGATCACTACATATACAATATTTATCTTTTTTTAAATGTATGTCTTACAATATATAATAAAAAAATTAAAATAAAAACTATTATCACTGTATTAAATTATGGGTTATATAATTTTTAGACCAATATTAAATATATATATATATATATATATATATAATAATCTTCTTATACTAGTATACTCGATTTGAATTTTTATTCAACATATTTAAAAAATTATCCATTGCATCGATCAAGCTAATAATTTTGCAAGAGGATAGTTAACAATTAAGAATAGTAATATTATTTTATTTAAAATATTTGCTTATAAAAAGATCAAGTCTTGTATGTTATTGAAATTGTTGATAAATAAAAATTAGAAGAAGAAAAAATCTCTCCCTTCGCTAAATTTTCTTTCGAGAGCGTATTAGAGTTATGTATCACTGATATGAGTTTATAATATATAACTTTTGACTATGGGTACTGTCTATGTCGATCGAGGACGCCACTTCCACTGTGATCGTAGAAATATTGACTTTACCTCTAAGGCAAAGCAACAGTTCATTCGCATCCCTCCCAAGTTAGCTCAACCAAAACCTCGCGAATTTTAATATTGATCTCACTGTTTCAACCACTAAACATTAGCATTATATATAATATGACATATAGTTTTTATTTTTATTTTTATTTATATATATATATACATATCTCATGAATAGATTTATACACTTTTCCAGCCCACAGACAAGAGAGAGAGAGAGAGAGAGAGGAGAGATGGAAAAGAGCAGGGTGCTTATCATTGGGGGAAGTGGATACCTTGGAAAAAGGTTGGTGAAGGCAAGTTTAAGTGAAGGACATGAAACATATATTCTACACAGGCCAGAGATGGGTGTTGAGATTGAGAAGGTTCAGTTGCTTTTGTCATTCAAAGAACAAGGAGCTAAGCTCGTTTCAGGTTCTTTTAATGACCATCAAAGCCTTGTGAATGCTGTAAAACTTGTCGATGTTGTCATTTGTGCCATATCCGGTGTTCACATCCGCAGCCACCATATCCCACTTCAACTTAAACTTGTTGATGCAATTAAACAAGCTGGAAATGTCAAGGTAAATTATTTATAAGATAATTTTTCATATTCCCTTGTTTATATCAACACACGATCAGAAGTTTACAAAATATATTATATCAGAAAACATAGAAATCTTTCAATATTAAACAATTTAATATATTTGATAAGATGCGTTGAGTAAACAAGCCTTGTGTAATAACCTAATCAATGATTTTATTATGATGGTTATATTAGTGAAATTTGATTCTGATCATTCATTACTACAAGAAATTCCATCAGTTAAAGTAGGTGCATAGAAGTCAAATATGAACTTTAAATTCCTCAATAATATTCCGAGCTTGTGGATTTTGAGAAATTTTTGTTTTGTACTATGCACAGAGGTTTTTGCCCTCAGAGTTTGGGACAGATCCAGCAAGAATGGAGCATGCATTGGAACCTGGAAGAGTAACATTCGATGACAAAATGGCAGTAAGAAAGGCAATTCAAGAGGCTGACATACCATTCACCTATATTTCTGCTAATTGTTTTGCTGGCTACTTTCTTGGTGGACTCTGTCAACCTGGGTTTCTAATCCCCTCTAGAGATTCCGTGGTCTTGTATGGTGATGGCAACGTAAAGGGTAACTAGCTAGCTGTGTACTTTCCCTCCTAATGTTTTGTGACTCTTCTGAGTTCTTAAATTATTTCACACAATTTTTGATGAACTTGTTTCGACTTGAATTTTGGCAGGGATCTACGTGGAAGAAGATGATATAGCCATGTACACTATTAAAACCATAGATGACCCAAGAACTTTAAACAAGACAGTTTACATAAGGCCACCTGAAAATATATTATCCCAAAGAGAGGTTGTCCAAATTTGGGAGAAACTGATTGGGAAAGAGTTGAAGAAATCTTCAATTTCCCCTCAGCAGTTTCTAAGTTCCTTGGAAGGTGAGATCCATGTCATTAAATTAAAAAAATATATAATATCATTAAATAAAAAAAATATAATATCATTTGCAATATATTAGATATAAAAAAAAATAAAAGATCAACTCCATTGTTTCCAAATAATATATATGGGTAAGATCTTCTCACACTAATGTAAGTCTAAAAATTCTTACACTCTGAGTTTTTTATTTAATTTAAATCTAATAAGTTATAATTTATTACTCGACTGAACGTTAGATGTAAGTTAAATAAAAAGTTCAAATCAAATATAAGAGTTTTTAAACTTATATTAGTGTAAGAGATTTTTCTCTAAAGTCATCAAGTTATTAAGTATAATTAATAATCTACTTAAAATTGTTCATGAAATACCTCAATCTTTTGAAGAGTCTAGTGCTAGGCTCAAAACTAGATCTCTTTCCAAAAGTGTCAACGTCATTAATAATCTTGATTCAGAACCACCTTCTGAAAGAGGTTCACTAACAACTTTTAAGAAACTTGGAGAAGATCATATCCCTAAAAACATTTCTAAGTAACTCAGAACATAAATCACCTGTTACAATTATGATAAACTAGGCTATATCAGCAAATACTGTAGACTTAAGAAAAATAACAATCTTAATCTTGATTTTTTTATAAAAGACCAAATTAATAACCTTCTCATAGAAACTTCAGATGATGATTCTATCAAAGAGTCTAGTGAAGATTTCAGAAAAAATCTGAATTCTTACAAGAAATTATCCCAGCTTTTTGCCTAACATAATTTTCTTACACTGATATAAGTCTAAAAACTTTTACACTAAATCTGAATCTTTTATTTAACTTACATATAACTAATTATAATTTATTACTTCACTGACCGTTAGATATAAGTTAAATAAAAAGTTTAAATTGAGTGTAAGAATATATATATATATATATATATATATATATGTCACATCTGTAGTAAAAATAATAGATCAACACTTTAAACATATTTAATTCTCTTGATGATTATTGGTTTTTAATTTCCTAATATATATGTCACTCTCAAGCAAGTCAATTACAGTAAGCTATTAGAAACTAAATCATAAAAGATTGAGAAGCTTTTTGATGACTTTATGGTATTTTTACATTGATGTAAGTTTAAAAAAGCTTACACTAAATCTGAATCTTTTATTTAACTTACATCTAATCAGTTATAATTTATTATTTCACTAATCGTTAGATATAAGTTAAATAAAGGATTCAAATTGAGTATAAGATTTTAGACTTACACTAGTGTAAAAAGATCTGCATATATATATATATATATATATATATATATATATTATATGTCACATCTATAATAAAAATAATAGATCAACTCTTTAAACATATTTAATTTTATTGATGATTATTAGTTCTCAATTTCCTAATATATATGTCACTTTCAAGCAAGTCTCACGGTAAGCTATTAGAAACTAAATCATAAAAGATTGAGAAGTTTTTTGATGACTTTATATGTGTTCCTTTGTATATATTTTTACTATGCATGCAATAAAAAAATAAAAATGATGTACAATATTAATTTTCAGTATTTAAATAAGAAGTCAAAATACTTTTATCATATTTTTCATCCTTACCTTTTTTTTTCACTTACATAACTCTTTTTTTCATTTGTCCCCATGCTTAGCCATACTGTCACATTCTTATACATCTCATATAATTATGATTTATAAATAGTCTGTATTAATACTTATTTAATGTTTTTTAATTTGTGGATCACATTTACATTCTATTATATTTATCGCTTTGTTCTCTTCAACTCTTTTCTCTCTTCAAGTATGGACACCTTTGCATGTGTCTACAAAAATATTTTCCAAAAATAACACTACCTATTTGTCATCATTACAATAATATTCTTTTCTCTATGAAATTAGAATAATATTTGTATTTACAAACACAGGACAAGCATATGCGGAGCAAGTGGGAATGATACATTACTACCATGTTTGCTTTGAAGGGTGCCTCACAAATTTTGAGATAGGAGAAGAAGGGGTCGAAGCTTGTGAACTGTATCCTCAAATTAAGTACTCTACGGTTGAAGAATACATGAAACGCTATGTATAGAACTTGTTCTTTGCTTTATAATTATCGTCGTCGACCAATTGTGTCACGTCCCATAAAACATAATAAAAATTGTGTCATTTAACTAAATAGAGGGAATTTGCATGCTATTACGTGACATTCATCTTATATATATGCAACGCAAAGATATCACTTTTTCAATGAAGCGTATATTATAATAATTACAACATTAGATAATGTTTAAGTGCTTAAATAGTATAAATTAAAAGAGTTTAATTTTGAACTACCGTTCAAGATTTCATGCTAACTATCATCTTAATTTTGTGTTTAGACAATTACCCTCAGAGACATGTGATTCTAATGCAATTGACTCGTGTTAAGATAATGTGTTGGTTTTTATAATTTTGGTCAAGTGTTTGATCTGTCAAAAGTTAATATTCCTCGAGAAAATTTGAGACTTAAGTGGTGACATTAGTTGAAAAGTTCATTGGAAAATGAAGTAATTGATTCATCTACTCTGCATTACCGCTGAACCTAATTATAAGCATAGGTGTCTTAATCAGAACCTTATGACCTGTCACTTTACTTTAATTTCAACAAGCCCTTAACCATTTTGTAGACCCTATTATGTACCTCTAATTATTGCACCAACTGATTTAATATTCAATTTTTTAAAAAAAAAAATTTCTATTAATTTATAAAATATGTATTAAATAAAATAATATATTCATTTACTATTTTAAAAATTAAAAATTAAATAATAAATAATTCTAAATTCTATTAAATTTTATACTTATAAATTTTATTGATTATTAAATAAAAAATTATTAATAGTATTTACATTTTTAAAATAAAAAAATATATTATTTAATATACTTTATAAAATAGCAAAAAATCATTTAAAATATTTATAGGAAGATTGATAAAATTATTATTTAATATGATTTATTTAAGGATTAAGAAGATTTACAATATAAATATAAATATTTAAAATTATTCTCTTAACTGTGATTATTATAAATTTCTTATATTTACTTTTTAGCCTATGCCATGATTTGCACACTTCCCAAAATAATTTTACAAAATGAAAAAATAAAAATAAAAATTGCCAGTGTATAACAAAAGGTTAAATGCGGTGTTATTATTATAAATATTCCTAGTGTTATTGCTATAAATATGCTTGCTCTACTAGTTTTGCTATATCTTTCTAACAATTTTTAAAAATTATTTTTATGACTTTATAAAATAAGTATTAAATAAAAAATATATTTATAATAATAAAAAATAGAAGAATTTGAAATTATTCTATTTCTCTGGTTATAAATTGTTGTTCCAAATATAATTTTGTCTCTTGAATTAATTCACCTACAAAAAATTTTCAGTTTCTAAATGCTAGTCTCTTTCTTTAAATAATAGCTTGCTCTTGTTTCCAGTCTTTTTTTTAATGTACAAAAAAAAAGTTAAATTAATCTTTAGTAATAATATTATTTCTTGTTATACAAAAATATAGTTGTAATTGGTTACTCAAATATCCTAGAATTAACTCTTCTGCTTTATCTTATACAAACTCTTCTTCTCTCCTTTCAACTTTTTCATTCTTTCAATATATTTGTTGTTTTTCTTTTTAAAATTTATTTTTAATTTCTTTAAATACATAGTTATTTTTTATTATTAAAAAATTGAATCCAACACATTTTTAAATCTGGTTCATAAATAAAAGAAAATTTAAACAATTTATAAAAATAATAAAATAAAATTTATAAATATAAATTCAAAAATGCTAAAAAGTTTATATAAAATAATAAAAGAAAGTTAAATAATAATTTTTATCTTTTAAATTAATATAATAATTAAATAAAAGTAAAATTATTATAACAAAATAATAATGTTGAAAAAGAATGTGGTAAACTTTGAAAGTATTTTTATTAAATTGTTCATTTTTTTATAATATAGAAATTGACAGGAATTAGACAATTAATATTTTTAATATGGAATAAGATATTTTCATACTAGTGTAAGTCTACAAATTTTTACATTTTGTACCTTTTATTTAATTTATATCTATCAAATTATAATTTATTATATTACTGATTATTAAATATAAGTTAAATGAAATATTCAAATTAAGTGTAAGAGACTACTAAATATTTTTAAACTTATACTAGTGTAAAAAAAATTATTATTTTTAACTAAAAAAATTTGTAGGTTAAAATATTAAAAAAATTTAATAATATTTATTAGTAAAATACATGAATTAACATCAGTCCATAACAACATTCATTAATGATAAAAGATTCTTAAAAATATAATAAGATCTTTCATTTGAAATATGAAGATAGTTGACTTAAGAGTGAGAGTGAGTTGGAAGTCATCTTTAAATCTTGTGCTATGAAATTGAATGTAATTTATGAAAAGCATAAAGTTGGTGGTGGTTGAACTGTAATTGACAGAAGAGTTAAATTATCATTTTTATTTTTTAATTTACTTAAATTATTTTTAATTTAATTTTTATGATCAATTAATATTAATAAAATGATTTATTTGGCATGTTAATTTAAATTTGACGCATTAAATAATAATGTTTCCCATTCTAAAAGATACAGTGTAATTTATAAGAGATTAATTATTAAAATTTGTTCAAAATACTTTTTTATAAAATTTTAAAATTATCATTCATTTTATTTTAAATCTCTATTAATATCTCTCCTCTAACATCTAATATTATTTTGGTTGATAGTTAACATTTAATATGTGATATAAATATTTTTATTAAATATCATTGACGTGTATTAACTATGTGAATTAATGTGATAAGTTTTTAAATAATTTAAGAATTAAAATAATTTTTTATTAAATTAAAATAAAAATAAAAAATTACAAAATTAAAGACTGAACTAATAATTTACTCAACAGATATAAATCGTAGGACTGAAAACCATTCTTGCACCTACAGAGGATGCACGGGTGCTCAAATAATTTATCTAAATAAATTTAATTTAAATTATACATAATTAAAAATATAAAATTAAATTATTTATAATTTATTATTTTATTCTCCAACTTAATTTGTAATTATTTTTAATTTTAATTGTTTAATATTTAATTAAAATTTTATATATACTTAAAAAAAAGTAAAAGTAAAAAGACAAAAAAAAACATTTAAACATAACAAATATATAATGATAATTTATTAGATAAATTTTTTATTTATTAAATATATATTTATAATTAAATGTAATCATTTTATTATTATATATACACATGAAGTTATTTGCAAAATTAACTAGCATATAAAAATACAAATAAAACACAGATAGTTACATTTGTGGCCATGTACCAGCACTTCCCTCCTTCACTTTTGACTAACGTGTTATTTGGTGTAAAAACATTTTTAATTAAATTTATTTTTAATCAACAAAATTATCAACAATACATGAAAATTATTTTAATAAGTTTATAGTTAAGTTTTACTAGAAAAATATTTTGAATTATACAACAACTAAACTTTATCTTACATTCTTTTTTTATGTCTGACCTTTTCTCAATTATATTAAAAAAATATATATATATTTTACTATTTATAATTAGTTCTTAAAAAAATGTTTTTATTTTCTTTTAATGAAAAATGAAAAAAGAACAGGATTATTCTCATATGAATTATACCTGTTGGCATTTATCGGTGCAGGTTGAAAATGGTTATATCCAATACCATCATTCTCTCTAATTCTCCAGTTGGAACACCTTCTATACCAACCTCCACGGTAAGATATTATGGAACACTCTTACCCAATACCCAATTGCCATAAAATTTGATCAGAAACCAAAAAAAAAAAAAGTGTTAAGTTTTCTTATAATTTTGCTCCATATATGATTCCTTTTTTGAATCTCTAGGTTGCCAAGTTGGAAACTTTTTCGCTAAAAAATGATGGGGTTATCAGAATTAGAGGAGTTTCTGCATCTTCAGTGGCACCCAGAAATCGAAAATTAGCATCTTGTTCTGTTTCTGGGGGTGGCAATGCCTCTGTTGGTATTGATGTACCTTTCCCTACTGATTACACCCAGCTTCTGGAACAAGTAAGTGGTTAATTGATCTTAGGTTAATCTTGTGATGTGTGCAACAGTATAAGTAAAATTTACTGAACCAGAAGATTTTTTTTATTAAAAAAGGTGGAATTTATAGTTCTCTATTATGTATACTCAGACAGATGCTAATTGAGCACTGAAATTTGTGTCTTTGTTAATGAATTAACCAACAGGCTAGAGTAGCTGTGGAATTGGCTATGAAGGATAACACTCAGCTAATGGTGAGTTATATCTGATAGTAATTTTATTAGGAATCAAGAATGCAAGTTACACACACTCATGTGAGGAGCTAATCTATTATAGAGCCTGTAATGAACAACAATCTTATACAGGAGATTGAGTTTCCAACAGCTGGACTAGGGTCTGTACCAGGTTCTACACATATTTCAGTTTCCGCTTGGTTTTGAGTTTTATTTATTGTGGTTTAAATCTATGTGCAAATTGATTCATCTCACTCATTGCATGGCAGGTGATGGAGAAGGTGGAATAGAAATGACTGAGAGCATGCAATTGATTCGTGAATTTTGTGACCGCTTCATTAGTTCAGAGAAAGCCTCACGAACAAGAATAGTAATCTTCTTGATTTGAAGCATCATTCTGCTTTATGCCCTTGGCACGTGTTTCTGGAGTAAAAAAGCTTTACTCTACATGTAAAAAATGGTTTTGTCCTCCTTGTGTTTCTTTAACAACTTGGAATTTGATTTTGGTTTATTTTTTTAGCATACAATCAAATTAAATTTCAAGAATCTTGCTCTATAACTCCAACTCAGGGCATATAAACATTAATTATGATCAGTACACCTTAGTGTCAAGATTTAACTCCATGGGGACTATCAATAGTTTGATTGGTCCAAACAGCTCTTACTTTCTTGTTTATGCATGCGATCTCTCCTTTCTTCATATGCATAGTATATCTACGATGCTAGTGCTGTCATTCAAAAGGTTGTCTTGTTCTGTAGAGATGATTATGTGGAAGTTTTTAGTGTCATAATTCAGCTTTATCACTACCAGTTGAAATTGATGCATAACCTTGTAAAAATCAGTTTTTTCCAGAGGCTAGCGAAGTTGACTTTGCCAGACAATCAGCCTTTAGTGGATCTTCTTTTAAGCTGGACTATTTGACAAAGCCTTCATTTTTTGAAGATTTTGGTTTTGTTGAGAAAGTAAAAATGTCAGACAGAGTGAAGACAGGAGATGAACTTTTCTTAGTAGCCTACCCATATTTTAATGTCAATGGTAGATTCTAATACCCTTTGTTTTTGTTGATATAAACAATGAAGGTTTCATGACTACCATTCCATTGTATTTCAGAAATGCTTGTTGTGGAAGAACTTTATAAAGAGGCAGTCTTGAACACTGAACGGAAACTGATTATTTTCAATGGAGAACTCGATCGTATAAGATCTGGGTGTATCCTTTGCCAAATTGTGCAGATTTTTCATATTTGAGCTGATCTACACCAGATCTTACCCAAAATTTGTTAATTCTTTTCTTTCAAAAATAGTTGTTTGGTAAGAACTAGAAAATGAGTTCCTGAAGTAAATAATGTCAAAGATGTGATTCTGGGTAAACAACTTTTGCAACATTTTTCAGTCTCAATCTCCTTGGCTTACTCAGAAAGTAGTTATCCTTGACCGGATCAAGATTATCCACCATTCTTCTACCCAAAACTTGCTGCTCTTACAAAGACCTTCCTGCCTATGATGGAAACCGTGTATTACATTCATAATTTCAAAGGTCGCAATGGAGGAACACTATTCAGGTCTGCTAGCTACTTAACTCCAATCAGTCTAATATGATGGAAGGCCATAATATTGTGGTAACCTGAGAAATATTCAATATGTTGCTTGGAGATGGAAATGGAATTTCTGTTAGTAGCTAGACTTTGGTTTAATAACTGCATATGAAACTTATTTATATTTGTTTGAGTGAACATACCACTTCGGTATTTTGTGTTTATTGCATTTTCCTCAGGTGCTATCCAGGACCCTGGAAGGTCCTTCGAAGAGTGGGGAGTAGTAATAAATATGTTTGTCTACATCAGCAAAACAGTATGCCATCCCTCAAGGAAGTTGCACTTGAGATTCTACCAACAACTTGATATTTCAAGTTATGGTAATGGTATTGTTTCCTCCATGCCATAACTTTGTAAATCCGCTTTGGTCTTTTCTTCAGAGCTACACCATTGTTTATGCCATGAAGACAAGAAACAACTTTCGCATTAACTTCATGTCTATAAAAAACAACTCAGTCTACTTTTTTGTTTCTGATGGAGGAAGATTAATGTAAAGCAAATTTATGGAAAAAAAGGAATTTTATGTTAATATAATTTATAAATTTACTTTATTTTGTGAACATCCACCTCTTTGGAATGAACATGCAAGTTGAATCCATTTGCTGTCTAAGTGTTGAGCTTGAGCATTAAGTAAACGACAGCCTAAGCATAAATTAACCACAAATCATGTCAGTTTCTTGTTCCATGTGGACATCCTATTCGCGAATTACTTGGAAGTGGCACCACCATTATGCCAACATTTAAAGCAATCTAATATAACTAAAATAAAAAGTGTTACTGTATAACCTTCAAAGCTTTCATGGTTTAGTGGAGGGATCAATAATCCTATTTCTATCCAACCTTTCAAGTTTATATAATTCCTGCAAGTGTAACAATGGCCTGTGAAATTGTTCAAGTGATGAGATCAGAGAAAGTAAATGCTGCAACACTTGTGCTACCCTTTCTTGAGCTACCCTCTCTTGACAATGACCCAAAGGTTGAGAAACCAATTCACAAGACCTGTTGTTGGTTCCAATACCTAATAGTCAAATGAAATCAATGTTTTTGTTTTGTTATAAACCCTATTTTCCAATTCTTACCGGTAAGTAAAACCAATCAATCATATTCATCATTTTCCTATAAAATCTCATATACAATACAGCTTTAGTTACAATTAAAACAATGTCTTTTGAAATTTACATATTACCCTTTTTCGGACAAGGCCATATTTTCCCATGCGTAGAGCTATGCAAACGCTTCGCTTCCAGAAACTTCAACGTGACCCTCATCATCTCCTCCAACATCGCCACATTTATTCCTTCTTTTCTTCATCAACACCCTCTCCTCAGAATCGCTCAAATCCCATCGCCACCGTCACAGCCACCGCTACACCATGAAGACCTTAGTCAAGGGCTCGAAAAAATCCTATCGGAATCAACCCGACCCGTTTGTGCCATCATTGACATCATGATGAATTGGTCAGCACATGTTTTCAAGAAATTCCAGATTCCCATGGTGGCCTTCTTCACCTCCGGCGCCTGCTCCACCGCCATGGAGCTCGCTCTTTGGAAAGTCAACCCGTTAGAATTAAAACCCGGTGAGACCCGTTTGCTTCCCGGGTTTCCCCAAGACATGGCGCTCACGTATTCGGACCTCAAACAACGACCTCACCACCCTCCTCCGCCGCCGACGCATCACGGCGGAGCTGGGTTTCCTCCGCCTCCGAGTGGAGCGGGGCAACGAAGGAGGGGACCCCCGAAACACGGGGATCCACCACCGTGGTTGGAGGAGGTTCAAGAAACCGTTGCGTTGATGATCAACACGTGTCATGATCTGGAACATCCATTTATTACTTACATCGCGAACGATATCGGTAAACCGGTCTGGGGTGTTGGACCGCTTTTGCCCGAGCAGTATTGGAAGTCCGCGGGTTCACTTCTACTCGACCGGGATGTTCAATCGAACCGGCAGTCCAGCGTCACGGAAGAAGAAGTGATCCAGTGGTTAGATTCAAAGCCACGTGGATCAGTACTATACGTGTCGTTTGGAAGCGAAGTGGGTCTCAGCGTGGAGGAGTATAAAGAGCTTGCTCAAGCAATGGAGGAGTTGTGTGAGCATGTACCGTTTATATGGGTGCTCCAACCCGGTTCGGGTAGACCCAGTCCAGGAGCTGAAGAAGGGTATTTTCCTCATGGGTTGGATAGTATAGTTGGGAATAAGGGTTTGATAATACGTGGATGGGCACCACAATTGTTGATACTGAGTCACCCTTCAACGGGTGGGTTTTTATCCCATTGTGGCTGGAACTCCACGATGGAAGCTATTGGACGTGGGGTTCCATTCTTGGCCTGGCCCATTAGGGGTGACCAATACCATGACGCCAAGTTGGTGGTGTCCCATCTTAAGGTGGGTTACAAGGTCACTGATGATCTATCGGAGAAGGTAACCAAGGATCATATAGTTATGGGAATCAAGAAGTTGATGGGTGATAAAGAAATGAAGAAGATGGCTGGGATTCTTAGTGCTAAGTTTCAACATGGGTTTCATTCAAGTTCGGTGGCTGCTTTAGATGATTTCAAGGATTATATAAATCAGAGCTTTGTCTGGGGCTCGGCTCCATCAGCATATGTTTGATGTTTCTTCATGCAACGTACTGGCGCTATCCTCTTCCGCCACTATAATGTTACATTACATGTTATTGCTTCAACTAGAATGGATTTAGTTACTTGTCATGACATCATAGTGTTGGCGTACTTTATTAATACTTAACCATTCTCTGATTACTGCCGTGCAACCTAGGGAAATTTACATTTTAAGGAATTGAGTCTATAAGATTCAAATAAAGAAAAATTGAGATCATCTTTTAAGTTTTAAGAAATAAATAACGGCCTTCAACAATCAGAACAGGTTATTCTGCAGATTCCTGTAGTGAAGGCTCTACAACTGCTACCTGAAATCAGGGCAACGCCGTTTCAGATGCCAAAAGGGAGAGAACAAAAACTAATGGGAGAAATTGTCAATGAAATACTGACACCATTCTCATCCAATCATCCAATGTAATCTCATCAAGCACGCATACAACCCTACAGTTTACACCCCCGGGATCATACGCGCAAAAGTCCAATGTGACTCACATTATTATGAAATAGTAAATTACGAACCTTTTGGAGTAGAGAATCTAAGAAATGATAAAGAAACTGTGCATCACTACAAAATGTGGATACAATCTTTGGTGCGAAGTGAGATATAACGAACCAGAAACTCTGTACATTATTACCAAAGCAAATTCCATGACAGGGTGAAAGGACAGAAAATTTTCCCTTTTCTACTTAGTTACTGGGAGTTGCAAAAAAATGTTTAGAACTATATGCTGATACATCATAATCAGATAAAATATATCCGAATATGAATACAATGACCAAATACAGCTTAACCCTTAAATGAACTAAATAACCCCCAAAAAACAAAGGGAAAAAAAAAACGAACAATTTCCTTTTAATATTTAATAGAAAACCCCAATTAGAAAACAATGAACCTACAACCAAGTGAAAAAAAAAATGGTACACGTGCATATTGCCAACAAATGATTATGTATAAAAAACAACAAGAACGACTTAGTCAGTCATCATGATGGCTCCGGATCCAGTTTTGGGACTATGGCAGATTTGAGCTCTAAATGAGAGATTCGAACAGCCCCAATAAGCCTCTCGGGCAACTCATCAGGAGTATTTGCCTGTAAATAATAACAATTTTGTCAAGATTTCACAATACAAACACTAAAACATATCAATGAACAGTCAACCAATTCATAGTAAAAATTAATATTTAAATTTGTCAAGCTTTTATTCAGAAGCAAGTACAACTTTTACCTCTCAAGCACGCATACCAAAGACAGTAATGCCATGATGTATAAAATAAATTTCTTATTTAAAATCCAGTAATACAACCCTCCGCAAACATGATACTCCTGTTAAAAACACATTCTAGGTCGTGGTAGAAAAATCTCCTACATTTAAATTAGGGCCAAGACTTTCACACCAAATTGTGAGGATTTTAGCAAAAATGGCATTTGATTAGGCAAAAGTACATAAAGCAACAAATTTAGCCAGACCAAAATTAGGTAGCTATTATTAACATCGATTGTGAAGAAAGTAAAGCTATTATATTGACCTCATTCATAATTCTGCTTCAAAGTACCATATCATGGCATCCATCCTCCCAATACATATTAGGTAGATTGATGGACACTTGGACACAATAAGTTATCAACCTCAAGTCCTCAACTCAAATAACAACCAAATTCACACCTTTTACTACAAAGTTTGCTATCCACCAAGTCATTTGATTTTTAAAGATTTCCAAACTCTGGTTATTTAAATTTTAATAAAGAACATCATTCACATAATAGTAATGAAACATGTTAGAATTTTTTCTTCTTACCGAATTTAGGTGCAATCAATTTCAGAATATACATACCATTCCCAAATACAAAAGCACAAGCACAAAACCACACGACTTGTAATAACAAAACCTCACAAGGTCTAGAAGCTTTTTTCGTTATAAATATCCATCAATATTGTCAAATTCAAGGAAAATACAATCAAAATTTATCCCAAGGCTATATGTATGTATATGATAGATTTATGCAGAACTAGCTCAATTTGATAGAGTATTTATAATTCCTAGCAATTGGAAGGGTGACAGGTAATGAAATTTGACATAATTCATAAAAACAATAATGCAGATTTGCAGTCAATTAGCAGGTCTATGGAATCTGAAATATTCACAACCAACCAATTTCAACTAAAGTATTATTAGCAAACGTAAAATTAAAGTCATTATGCCTTTACAAAATGAACATGAAAGTTTTGACACTGAATGCTGCAAGAAAACAGGTCTATCCCTATTGTTGCCACTTAAATCATATGACTTGTTTAGATGTTAATTACTAGTATATAAAATATACACCATAGAAAACGCACCTGTACAAGAAAAGCCATATCAACCACCAATGTTGTAATGACACCAATAACCAGCCCCAAAACTCCATTAGCAACAGTAGAAGAACCAATATCAACATCAATCTACAGATAAAAATTTAAAAATCATGGCAGACAAGTTAGGACACACATGATTTCATTAGTAGGAAACTGCTAACAGCAAAAACAAACAAAAGTTAATAAAGAAATTGAATGAAATTTTACTTCTAAATACTTCGGACCACGAATATAGTTGCAATCAACCGCCTTTCCCAGTAAACAAGGAGTACTCCCAACACTCTGCCGTACAATCCATGAGCCCTGCATTTTTAAGTTGGAAAATCAATGAGTGGAAAGAGTAAACTGCAAAACTGTTTACTTGTTTCTCCAGCCTTTAAGGCAACATTACACAAATAGAAGTGGAAAAGAAAGAAAAACAAAAACCATAAAAATAAGTGAAAAAAACTGAACGAAAGTAGTAAAACTAAAAAAATGATAACATTTATAGATTCAGATATGTGGATTGAGCCAGACCAAAATATATGTGCATCAAGTTGGTAGCAGGCAGCAGCATATCAACTTAATAGTTTTAAGGACTGTAAAATTATTCTTGGGAAAAGTGAACTTGGCAATATGATATTTACATATTTGGTTTAAGTTTTAACAAAATATTTCTGGGCCTTATTGATTCCATGGAATTGACATTTTCATGTTATGTTTAACTTTTATTCCCTCAATCAGAGGTGATTAAGTTGCTTTTCCATCGCATGAGAATGGAAGTTATCTAGTAACCAAATTATTTACTTGTACTCCCACTTCTTTCTACCACATTCCTTCTCTTATCATTTGTATTTTGTAAAGCATTCCAAAAATATTAAATGCTAATCATACATTTTTTTTTAACTAAAAATAGCATTCCTAGCCATAGTATTTCCAAGAATGTCCTGGGTATATAATCATATATCTTAAAGAAAACACCTTAGAGTCATGTAACTGACTTGCTATGCATATCAGCCCATGGAGTCTCACAAAAAAATGGAAGTGACAAAACAAAGGAACCTTGTTAGATGGTTAACTTCGTGAATTTTGTTTATAATAAGATGTAATGCAATCCTAAAAAATGTTTAACAAATCACTGTCCTACCTTCATAGGTCTAACTTGTTCTACAATCCAGACCAAAATCAGGCATAGGGTCATCTAACTGTAAACATGAAGCAATAAAAAAATGACATCTAAACTTCTTAAGGAAACTCCACACAGATGCACACCAGTGCTTATACCATAGTTTTCAAACCCACAGTTTAACTTGTAAAATCCTCGTTACCCTCTATAGTTGAACAGTAAAAATTGTCAACTCAAATTAAAATTTGCAGTTGATCAAAGTTTTTGAAAATTGATAAATTCAGTTAGCCTTTATATTTGAGCTAACTTTTTTTGCATTCTTTTGCAATGCTATGTGCAGGCTGAGAGCCGCATCAAACCATTTAGAAAAATATGAAGGAAAAACACTTACAAATAACATTGTAAAATGCTGCTTACTTGTGTAATGTATTATGAATATGCAATTATAAAATTTATAATAAATCTTGTTCTAGACAATGATACTAGTTTCTTTCTTTTTTCTTTTCATATTATGATGCAGACGAAGGGTAGCCCAATTGCTAGAGGCAGAGGCAAACTAAGAAAACTATACGTGAAACAAATTAAGAAGGATGCAGAGGTTAATAATTTGTCTATACACATGATTACCAACAAAACATAACATCATCTAATCCATATAGGTGACCTCGCCAAATAAGAAAAGGCTTGGTTGTTGTTGTATGATGCATTTACAGCAAAAACAAATTATGATATCAAAATCTATATTTTTATTAGTTATTTATCATTTATCAAACTGATAAAAAATTATGAGCTCATCCATTGAGTTTAACCCTCTCTTCTCCAATGCCCCCTGCTCTCAAAAAATAATAACGGCATGTGTTATGTGATTGACAAGCTTTCCTGTAACATATGGTACAAAGCATCTGTAATACTAATGACCATAGGTTATAGTATAATACTTAATCTGAAGGACAGCAGAAAGAAAAATGCTCCTGCTAAAAATCAGATGCCATAAAAGCAACATCCTCAAAATTAACCACATGGAAAATATTTAAAAAAATAGTGAATGCAAGAAACAAATGGCAAAGCACACATACAGCCAGCACACATGCTTTAAACAAAGGATGATACAGTATAACATGCCTGTATAAAGATGTAACTACACAAGAATGATACAGCCATAAAATAAAAAATTAACTGCCAAAGGCATTTGCCTAATTATAACAAAGACAAACTTCAGCAAATACCTGTGGGACTGATGGTATGAGCTTAAACCTGCTGTTTCGAAACTCATCATCACCGTCAACAAAGCGTTGCAAGAGGGATCCAGAAACTAACTCTTTTGTCACATAATAAAATACCATACTATAGTGAGTTGATCCAGGCACCTACAACCAAACAGCATGCATTCATTTACTTCAAACTCTAAGCCTTAGAAGTTTAAAGTTGATTCATAGTCATATGAAGAAAGGAACTCACTTGAAGATTAATAATGATGGAGAAAAATCCTTTTTCTGACGCAATCTACAGACATGAAAGATAGGGACTATTGTCAGCAAAAGCCTAATAAAATAACACAACAATAACAATGTTACAAATTTAAAAAATAGAAATGGGGAAATTAAAGTCACCTCATTGAGGTTTGCACATATAATAACTGATAACCCTCTCATTTAATCAAAGACGTCA